ATCCTTTATATGCCAGATTGCATTTACTGTTTTTCCACCTTTGTTAAGCACAGCCAGTGTGAGCTTTATTGGCTGTGAGATGACACATGCACCCACACTAGGAAATGTAATTATAGCCAAAAGCCAGGAGACCCAATGCTCTGGTCGGCCTCTCTGACATAACAGGGACTCAAGTACAATCCAGGCTCCTGTACTTGGACAGAGATTAGCTCACAGCCCTCATGACCGAGGACCTTGAGCTTGCAGCCACTGGCCCTGCCTTTCCTCTGACTTTCCAGCTGGATTGCCAAAGCTCCACCAACTTTTCTGCCCTCACACCGTGGAAAAGCCTCTACTCCTAGGGACGCCCTTTGCAAAGACCTGGGTGTGTGTGTGTGTGTGAAACTGCATGTGTGGGTTGACTGGGAAACATTTTCTTTTTCTCAGAAATCTCAAAAGATTGCCCTTCCTCTGAGGACTTCTCTATACCCTAGAGGAAAAGTTCTCCTAAAGTAGGGCTTCTCTTACTCCCTGACTTCTGTTCACATGATTAGTTTCTCTTCCTGTCTCATTCAGAACCAGGATTTCCTGACCGTAATGGCCTATGAATCTCTCCCCACCCATTACAAATGCAATACATATTGATAAGATAAAAAAGTCAGTAAATACTGAGAGACTCAAATTTGGGTGGTGAGCACACAATACAATATACCAATGAAGTGTTTTAGTATACTTGAAACTTACATGACTTTATTAAACCAGTGTTACCCTGATGACAGTCAAACCTCAGTTCTTGAACATCCGCCATCTCAAACAGTCTGGTTCGTGGCCAAGTTGTTCATGGGGAAAATGTCTGTTGTCGAACAAAACTTTGGTTCCTGACCTTGCTGGGTTTCTTTCATGCTGACAGTTTTTCTAATGGGAAAAAACAATCCAGTTTTCGAAATTGCTTCTTGAACAGCCTTCCAGAATGAATTAAGTTTGAGAACCAAAGTTTCACTGTAAATTCCACAAAAATGTAAATACTGATGAGCCAAAAATTATAATAGCTAATAATTGGGGGGCTCGTAGAGTAGGTTGGGCACTTTATTAAGTGACGCCTGGCAGCCAGAGAGGTGGGTTTTGTGTTGTCTTCATTTTTCTTTCCTTTTCAGTTGAGGAAAATGAGATTTGAGGTTAATGATTGCCTTGGGGTCATCAGCTAATAAGGTGTAGAGCTAGTTTTCAAACCAGAGTCAAGACTTAGGTTACCCTTCTAGAGCTTTCTCTGTACACACAAGCATACACAAAAATGGGGTCTCACTGTATATCAACACTTCTTTTTATTTCAAATTGTAAGAGAGAGCTTATAGAGGTGAAGAAGTAAGCCAGCTGGGCTGCATAGACTCAGGAAACAGGTTACAGAAGTGAAAGAAGGACCCTTGGTGCTTGGGAGAGAGGAAGGCAACAGTAATGCCCCTGTAGGAAGGAGAAGGGGAAGGGAAGGGAAGGGTGCAGGCTTGCTCCGGAGAGCGCACACCTAGACACCTTTTACTGCTGCACACCGACCATCTTTCCGTGTCGGTAAGTGTGCTTCAACTAGCATGCGTTTTAATCCAGTGCCCTGTTTCCTTTCCTCCCTGCCATTCCCCAGGATTGATGAGAATGTGATGGGAGCCCAGCTGGACGTTGAGGCCGCCCATTCAGAGATCCTCAAGTACTTTCAGTCGGTTACCTCCAACCGGTGGCTCATGGTCAAAATCTTCCTCATCCTCATCGTCTTCTTCATCATCTTTGTGGTCTTCCTTGCCTGAACCCTCTCCACTGTGAGGCACTCCATGGGGGTTTGGAACCTACGTGGAAGGGCAGCTGGCCAGTGCTGTCATTGAGCCTGTGCAGGGCAATTGGGAGAAAGGCCCTGTTTTCCTGGACCTGCTGAGAATGGCCACTGCCCCGGATTCCCTCCACCCCTTGTCTCTGGCTGGCCACCCTGTCCTCCCCTCGTCGTCATCAGGCCCGTGAAACACACACGGTTCTGGATTTGTACTCTGCTGTGAAGTGGCTGGAAGGGAGCAGAGGCCAACTGGGGGAGTCAGTGGGGGAGGTTGTCTACCCTAGGTAATTTTTATAAACCCTCCCTAGCCTCTCCCAAAGAAAACTTTGGCAGCAAAGGGAGATGATGCCCTTCCTTACATCCTGGAGTGAGGAGAGGAAGTGAAACTGCCCCAGGGACCAATTTTCCCATCTGGATTAGGATTTGACCTCCTCTTCTTCTCTTCATCATGTGAGGCAGAAGGCCCTGAGCACCTCGGCTGCCTGCACAGCCCCAACTTCGGCTGCTGGTGACTCAGTGCCAAGTGCACTGCAGCCCATATTCTCTCAATTACAGCAAGACTGTCAGCCTCACTAGCCATGTTGTCATTTCTGGGTGGGAGCGTCGAAGGGCCTGGGCAACAGGCAGCGTGAGCCCACTGTCCAGTTCCTGAACAGAGAAGATTGGGCCAGTAGTTGTGAGGGACCTGGGTGTGGGCTCTGCACAGCAGCCTCTAGGCAGGAGAACCAAGTGCAGCAGCTCTTAGCACGGCAACTTCCCTTCAAAGTGGGAAGCAGGTCCCTTTGGTGCAACTTCCAGGACCATCTCCAGCAGTCTTTAGACGTGTTTCATCTGCATCCCCTGGTTGGCTTCAGTTTTTCCGTGAGCTGGATGAGGCAGGAGCTCTGTCTGCTGCCAGCAGTGAAAGGTGAAGAATTTGTTCTCAGCTCCAGCTGAGGCTGTTGGTCCCCTCCAAACCCCTCACTAACTCCCAGCCAGTCACAGGAGAATGAGAGACCTGCCTGGAATGCCCACCCTCCAGGGAGATGACCCACAATCACATTATGAGGTAACCAGAGACCTCCCATGTCATACATCACAAAGGAAACTCCAGCTATAAAGACAGTCACCGTACCCTCGCTTGATTCTCGTCCTTTGGGAAGTGTAAAAGAGCCCATGTCTCTTTTAGCCCCAGCATTTCATTTTCTCTCCCCTTGGCCTCTTTAGCAGGTGTTCTGGCTAGAATCTTCACTGGCCGTTTGACACACCATCCACATGGTGTGCCTAGCACAGCACATCTGTAGTGTGCCGGGGAGGGAGGGAAGGTTTGTGAAGACAATTGCTCACTAAAAGTCTGACAAGTCAGTCTCTCAGTGGCACTGTAGCTGCCATTGCAAAGCTTCGTGATGGGAGATGCAGAGATCAGAAATTAATTTATTTCACGAATAGTTGTTGAGCACCTGGTATTTGCCAAGCATTGTACTGAACCCGGCGCTAAAGGGGGGGGAAAAACCCCAAAACGTGAATTAGTCGAGTCCCCTGCTCTCTTGGAGTTTATACTTAGTTTTCTATTTCCTGACAATCCATTCCATAGGCGAGAAAAGGGAAGCCTAGCCCTGCAGCTGGCAGAGGGCTGAGCTGAGACAAGCCCCTGGCTGGACCCCTCTCTAGGGGGTCTGTGAACGATCACGCCTGCTCTGAAGCCCGTGTCTCTCATTCCTCGGGAGCCCTTCGTGTGGCCCCTATTCTCTGTTCTTTCCGGAATTCTGGGCTTCTCAGCCTGCCCTCCTGCGATAACCCCGCAGAAGCTGGCGAGGTAGCAGACGGGTGAAAACAGGTGGCCCGGCAAACAAGCCCCAACCCTCCGCTTAGCAACCTGATATCTTGGGCGGGGCGTGCAACGGTGGGGCCCCGCCCCCGGCGCGACTGCTCGTCCAGTGCGCACGCGCAGGGGGCTGGGCACTCCTGGCGGCACCACCCACCACCTGGGGACGTCGACGCCGCTCCGCGCGTTTAGGCGCATAAATGCGGTGGCTCCAGGCGTAAGAGCGCTTCGACCTGGAGTACCTGGCCTTTCGGGCGATTGGTGGCGTTGCGGTCCGCCCCTGAGTCCGTCCTACTTCTCGCTGTGCCATGGCGGACGGGGGGAAGTCCTACAGTGGTAAGTGCTGGCGCTGAGTCCGGGAGCGGGGCGATCTGGGGCCCGGGTGGGCGGCGCCGGCCTAGGCCGCAGTCCCGGGGCGCGAGGCCGGGAGGGACCTTAGGAGAACGGTGGCGGCACGGGCGGGGAGCGAGGCAGCCTTGGGGGGCCTGGCTGGACTCGAGGGTGGGCGCCCGAGTTTTTGACTCCGGAATTCTGCCCTTGAGAGGACCTGCGGCTAAGAGCGAGTGGCTCGGCGGTGGGGTGACGAGATTCCTTTGAACTTTGTGGGTGTTGGATCCCTGTCATTTCAGTTTGGCGGCCAGACTCTTTTTAATGTGAGCCAATTAAAGCCTATGCGAGGCTCATGGGCTGCCTGTGCCCTATTATCTATCGGACCTAGTCGATCTTGCCCCACTTCCTGGGGCTTTGACTCTGGCTTAATATTTTAGGGTACGTATCAATTCGATGCTAGAACAAACACTACACTGGGTCCAGGGTAGTGATTTGGACACGACGGTGCGATTTCAATCCTGAGTTGGCTACACCAAGCGAGCGAGTTAAACTCTCAGGCCTCATTTCCACCCTTCCGATGCCGGTAGAAACATTATCTAGCCTCCTAAGTTTGTGTCGGTTAAAATAAGATCATTCACAGCAAGTGCCTGGAGTATTACAGTGCCTGGCACTGGAGAAAGTTTTCAGTGGATGTTAGCTGTGCCTTCTATTCATGTATTCTTCTTTTCTAGTCATTTCTTGAAGCATATTGTTTACAGAGTACTGCATCAGACAGACCTTTTTGGGAAGTCTTGGGTTTTTTTTAAGAAGGTATTCCTAGACACCAGGTTTCAGAGTCATATTCCTGGAGAGTATTTTAGGACCCTTGCCCTTGGTTAAGCAGTGTGGCTGCCACTGGAACCTGAATGTAAGATTCGTCATTCTGAGTTAGGAGACATTTCTGGCCAAGGAAATGAAGCCGTCACTCCCAAAACTTAAGACTGGCAGTTTTAGAACAAGATTTTTACAGAAGTCCTTAAATTGGTCATAATTGTAAATAGCATTTATACTGTACAAATAAAAGAAGTATTGTTTACTGTAAACTGTTGTATTCATTGTGATTGGTTTAGGGGAGGGGTGAGAGGTCATTCGTTATCTAAGTACTGAGTGGATTACTGGTAAGTAGATTTGGGAGGCTGAGTGAAAGCAGGTTTCAGGTGACTTTCTGAGGGTCTGAGTTGTGTCCAGTTCCCCTTTTGGGTCACTCCCACTTCTACATTCTGTTTCTCCTGTCTGTGGTTCAAGTTTCTGCTTCGATTTTCAAAGGCCCTGAAGTTTCCCAGGATTTCCCCCTGACATGCCATCTGGACAAGCGAAGGAGGGTGTGTAGAGGCTGGCTGCTGGTGCTGGTTGGTGTGTGTCCCACCCAGCAGGGTGCTGGGTGGGGACTGTTGAAGCATTCTAGGCCGGTGACAGGGACATGCCTTCTAATTTGTGTTCCATTTCCACCTATAGAGCACGATGACCGAGTTAGTTTCCCTCAAAGAAGAAAGAAAGGCCGGGGTCCTTTCCGGTGGAGGTGTGGTGAGGGGAACCGCAGGTCTGGAAGAGGAGGCACTGGCATCCGATCTTCCCGCCTGGAGGAGGATGACAGAGATGTGGCAATGAGTGATGCCCAGGATGTTCCCCGCGTAAGATAGTAAGTGACCCATTGGTCTGGTTTGATTTTACTGACACATCGTTTATGTAGCCCTCTTACTCCATGTCATTTCTCTTCCTACCATCAGAGTCAGAAATGCCAGGACCAGCTTCCTGGTTGAACAGTCTGAGTCGTAGCCCTGAAAATGGTACAGCAGGGTCTTTGAGAAGACCTCCCTAACATTCACATATGTCTTCTCCCTATTCTTTGCTTGTTCACAGCAACCCCTATTCTGTGCGACCCAACCGTCGGGGTGATACTTGGCATGAGCGAGACCGTATTCACGTTACTGTGCGGAGGGACAGGGCTCCTACGCAAAGAGTAGGGGCTGGCACTGGCCAGGACGGGACCTCGAAAAACTGGTTTAAGATTACAGTGAGTACCTTGGAAGTAGGTGGTGTCAGGGAAGTGGGGGCTGGGCTCAGAGTGAAGGTTTTTACTCTTCACCTCTCAAATCAGTCTTCTAGGCTACTTACTCCACAGCTAGATGTCCATCCTTCTCCTAATGAGCAGTATCCTAGAACACCTGAGAGCAGGTTTGGAAAAGGAGTGGAAGGGATAGGCAGGATTGGCAGGAGAGGAGAGGCTGGGTAAAGGGAAACGTGGGAACCAATTGGCAGGTAGGATAACTCCCCTGGGTGTCTCACTGGGCTCAAGCCAAGCTGTGAGGGTTGGGGGTCCCTTGACTTCTCCAAGGAGAAGGTGTAGTTAATTATTTTGGAACTTTTAGAATCAAACAAGCTAATTCTTTTGATGAATAACAGGTATAAACTGATAGGAGGGAGGTTAGCGAGTCCATGTCTGGCTTGAGTAGAAAACCTTTAATTAGTGTTTTCTTTTTTCTTTTTTTTCCCCATTCATTCATTCATTCATTTATTTTCAGAGAGGGGAAGGGGGGGGAGAAATATCGATGTGGGAGAAAAACATTGATTAGTTGCCTCTCCCTCTCCCAACTGGGGACTGGGTCAAAACCCAGGCATGTGCCCTGACTGGGAATAGAAACCGGTGACCTTTTTGTGCTGCAGGACATTGGCCAGCCAGCTGATCCACACCAGTCCAGGCAACTAGTGTTTCTTCAGAAAATCTTCTAAAGCTTGGCAAGCTGTACGAAGGAGCACTAGGCTGGATCTGCTGCTCAGCCTTGGTTACATTTTGTTCCCTTTTCTTTCTCTTCCGTAGATTCCTTATGGCAGGAAATACGACAAGGCATGGCTCCTGAGTATGATTCAGAGCAAATGCAGTGTCCCCTTTACCCCCATTGAGGTAAGCCAAGGCCTGAGTGGCTGGCTGAGGACCAAGGAAGAGGGCGGGGCCCAGTGGGCCAGGGGCTCTGGGCTCCACATCTATTGCTCTTGTTTCCTCTTGCAGTTTCACTATGAAAACACACGGGCCCAGTTTTTTGTTGAGGATTCCAGTACCGCCTCTGCATTGAAGGCTGTCAACTACAAGATTTTGGATCAGGAGAATCGAAGGGTGTGTATAAAGAAAGGGCCGGGCTTGCCTGGAGGTGGGGATTTGTGCTTAGGGCACAGGGTCTTGGCCCTGGGGCATAAGCTTCTGTAGAGGTCACCCTGCCCTTAATGTGTTCCCTGTAGATATGCATCATCATCAACTCCTCACCTCCACCCCATACAATACTGAATGAACTGAAGCCAGAGCAAGTGGAACAGCTAAAGGTGAGGCAGGCTGAAGTCTTCTGTTTCTGCCCCAGTCCTAGTAGTTCTCATATCCCTGTGCCATCCCTGCCCCCAAATATACCACCCCAGTGACCGCAGAAACCTTCTTCCTCTGTAGCTGACCATGAGCAAACGATTCGACAGCTCCCAACAAGCGCTTGACCTCAAGGGCCTCCGTTCAGACCCAGGTATTATTGTTGACAGCAGTTCTCAGATAGGTGGAGACGGGGGGATCTTTCAGGCAGGGAGGGAGAGTTTGAGCATGGTTTGGCGCTACCACTGGGCTAGGCAAACCTCATGCTTCCCTTCCTTTCCCTTTTCTTCCTGAAGATTTGGTGGCCCAGAACATTGATGTCGTCCTGAATCGTAGAAGTTGTATGGCGGCTACTCTGCGAATCATTGGGGAAAATATCCCTGAGGTGAGGCCTTTGCCCAATTGTTAGGCGGGAGGAAGCGGGGTGGGATAGAGAGGATGAGGTTGGGAGGCATATTTGTATCTGATCCCCTCCCTGCTGATAATTCCTCTAAACTCTTCTACAGCTGTTGTCCTTGAACTTGAGCAATAACAAGCTATATAGGCTGGATGACATGTCCAGTATTGTGCAGAAAGCACCCAAACTGAAGATCCTAAACCTCTCTGGAAATGAGGTGAGAACTAAGACCTGAATGTGTTTTGTCTGCGGTGAGCAGAGGGTGACAAGGACTTGTCTGGTGGCAGCCAGTGGCGAAGGAAGGAATTGAAGAGAAGAGGGTGGGGTTGGACTGTGAATCTCAAGCTGGCTCTCTTAACCAGGGTCTTTCCTGCCCTTTCTCCCCATCCTTTGCAGTTGAAATCTGAGCGGGAATTGGACAAGGTAAAAGGGCTGAAGCTAGAAGAACTGTGGCTCTTAGGAAACCCCCTGTGCGACACCTTCCGAGATCAGTCCACCTACATCAGGTCAGTCGTAGCCTCTGTCCCCCCTCCTAGGGACCTTCACCCCCTGGGAGGCCATGTTAATGCACCCTGACCAGTGCCCGTCTGCAGGAGATGTGCAGCCCTGAGCTGGAGCCACCTGTCCTTGGGAGGATCACATGTTCCTCCCTTTGTCTGTCCATATCACCCAGTTTTGCCCCCTGTCTCCTTTCCTTTTCTTTTTTGACCTGACTACTTGTTTACTGGTTCTATGGCCTTTTTCCCTCCTGCCTGAACACAGCCTTTTCTAGAGTCTCCCTACCCTGTTGATCCAGGAAGGGCACCTCCCCTTTTCTACCATGACTGGGAGTGTCTTGTGTATGTCCTACACATGCCCTTGTCTCATGCCAAGAGTCTGGTATTCCTGGGCTGAGAAAGCCCTCCCCCTGGGGCTGCCTGCTGATGGGCCGTTCCTCCTTTGTCCTGTACTGGCCCCTCTTGTCCTTTTGCCAAGAGGGACCTTCTTCTCACAACCCATTTGCCTGCAGCTGTTGTCTGGGCTTTCTGCTCATGCTGAGGTTGAGGCTGCCTGGTGGCTGGTGCCATGGATCTGTCTCTCACCCAGGGGTGTGAGCTGGGCCCTCCCTGGAGAAGAAACCTGGGTTCCCCAAGACTTGTGACCAGAGCCGGGGCCCTGCCAGTAGGCGGGGGAATCCCAAGGCAGTGCTGGGCGTGGAGGCCACGGGGGCATAGGCTACCAAGGAGACAGAACTGACCCTCTTGGCGGGGGCGCTGCCCCTCGCTCCCTCGCATACCTCTCATTACCCTGTTTGGCCCCGGAGGATGGCTGGTTAGCCAGAGACGGGTAAGATTCCTCAGGGAAGGAACAACCTAAGACAGGCACAGTCGCAGAGGGGCCATCAGGAGAGAACTTGGGGGCCAACAGAGGTGGGGCACAGACCCTCACCCCCCCAACTTTGCAGGGGCCTGAACCCTCACTCCTTCTGAGGGAAGTCTCCTGCCCCCATGGCTGCTTCGCTTCCCACGCCCAGCTCAGATCGGGACCCAGGTAGCAGACAGAGACCTGGCCAACAGCAACTGCCCTTGCCCTACAACAAGGATTTGCTTCCCATTTCTACCTTTGGACCACAGGGGAAGGGGCAGCTGAAGGAAAGGGCTGTGTCAGGGTGTCGCTTTCTTCCTTTTGTTCTCCCTCTTTTTCCTAAATGCTTCCTTGCCTTGTAGTTCTTTCTCGTTCTCTTTTCTTTTTCTCTCTACTCCTCTCTGCCCCTTTCTCCCTTGCCCCTGTCTCATCCTACTGCTCTCTTTCCCTTTTCCTGTTCTTTCCCTTGCTCCTTCCTTGGCTTTTCCTCTTTCTGATCCCTGCCTTGCTCATCTCCCTGCCCCAACATCCTGTGGCATCCCTGTGGTGTGTTCTGGTCTTGGCCAAGGCCAGACCTGGCAGAACTGATGGATACCTGTTGAGGCAGCGGAGCCCCTGGGCTCCCACCCCATTCCCTCCTCCCGGGGCTGCACAGGTGAGTAGGTAGAAGGTAAGGGGGGCAGGGAGGGAAAGGAAGTTCTGGGCTTAAAGCCTGGGCTGAGAGTGCTGCCTCTGTGGCACTGGTATCAGAGAAGAGAGTGTCTGCCTTCAAGGTGGTCATTTCCGGGTGCCCCAGGTGAGGTGGGGATTGGGGCTGTTTTTTTTGGAGCTCAGAGGCGGGGAGGAGGGAGAGAATGAGCAAGGAGGGGTGGGCTGTCCTTTGGGTACTGGTGTATTTGCTCCTAGAGCAGCCCAGGAGGCACTGTGGCTCTGAAGTGTCACTCACTTCTGTCCCGTTCTTGACAGCGCCATTCGTGAACGATTTCCCAAATTATTACGCCTGGTAAGTCCAGAGTTTTTGTCTTTTGTTTAAAGATTTTATTTATTTATTTTTAGAAGGGAAGGGAGGGAGAAAGAGAGGGAGAGAAACATCATTGTGTGGTTGCTTCTCATGTGCCCCTTCCTGGGGACCTGTCCCACAACTGAGGTATGTGCCCTGACTGGGAATTGTACCAGTGACCCTCTGGTTCACAGGCTGGTACTCAGTCCCTTGAGCCACACCAGCCAGGGCGACTTTTGTCTTTTTTAAAGATTTTATTTACTTTTAGCCAGAGGGGCAGGGAGGGTAGGGCTCCATGACTTTTACATGGAGCTGCCCGAGCTGAGCAGCTCTCCCCAAGGTCTTGCCTGCCGTGTGCTTGCGTGACCATTTATTTGGGGACAGGGACCCTTTGAAATACAACACAGGCTCTGAGTTTCCTTCCCCACAGAATGTCTGTAGACAAAATGGCATCTGTCAGGATTCCATGTCTCCTTTACACTTGACCTCTGGCCCCTTTTAGTTTTTCCCTTTTATTACTCAGCCAGCCTTTTTCTCTGGTTTTCACTCCCAACTCTCACTTATTTTTGGTAGGATGGCCATGAGTTACCCCCACCAATTGCCTTTGATGTTGATGCCCCCACGATATTACCACCCTGCAAGGTGAGCACAGGGGGGTGGGGGGGGCAGCACTGGAACTTGTGTTGGGAGGTAAGTATTGGTTACACGGTCCTAACATCTGTTTGATTCCAGGGAAGCTATTTTGGTACAGAAGCCCTGAAGAATCTGGTCCTGCACTTCTTGCAGCAGTGAGTATCCCAGGGCTCCTGAGGCGGGGGAGAGGTGGGCCAGCCCCACCCAGCACAGCTCAGTCCACGGTGCTGATGGGTCCCTTTGTGGACCCAGACTGTGGAGTGCAGACCTTTCCTTTTATTTTCCCCATAGGTACTACGCAATTTATGACTCTGGAAACCGGCAGCGGCTCCTGGATGCCTACCATGATGGAGCCTGCTGCTCCCTGAGCATCCCTTTCACCCCCCAGAACCCTTCCCGGTGCGTATCATAGCCCAGAGCCTGCTCGGGTCCAGGGTTTCTCAGCATATACAGGCCAGCACCTCTTAGCATCTGTGCTGCTGTGACCACCACCTCCTTTTCTTCTTTATTTCCCAGAAGTAACTTAGGCGAGTATTTCAAGGATAGCAGGAATGTGAAGAAACTTAAAGACCCAAGTAAGTGTGTGACATGAGCCAAAAAGGATGGGAGAAGGGAATGGAAGGAACCAGTCTTGGGGCCACGTGCATGGCAGCTCCTCACCTCGGCTTCTTCTCCACCCCACAGCCCTGCGGTTCCGGCTGCTGAAGCACACGCGGCTCAACGTTGTGGCCTTCCTCAATGAGTTGCCCAAAACTCAGCACGACATCAATTCCTTTGTGGTAGACATAAGCGCCCAAACCGTAAGCACTTCTTCCCTGACTGCCTGGAAATGGCGGGGGGGGGGGGGGGGGGGGCAGTTCAGAGGCCTGGGGCCCTCAGGTCCCCAGCTGGGAGCTTGAATGCTAGCTGTTTCTTCTCTTTCAGAACACATTGCTGTGTTTCTCTGTCAATGGAGTCTTCAAAGAAGGTGAGCACCTTTGAAGTTCTGTTTGCAGAGTGGCCATTCTCCCAGCTGGGGTCTTTCTCAGCACTCAGCTTCCTGGCTGCCATCTCTTTCTTCGTCCTCCCTGACCTCCTCCTGTTCTGCCCACAAGACGTTTTCATTTGGCCTCCCTTCCCTACCCATCTTTCCTTTCGGGGAGTGGGAGGGCCCAGGCTTGGGAGTTGGCAGCTCTGAGCTTCCGTCCCAACTGTGGGGACAACTTGAGTGTCTGCAGGCAAGTTACGTTACTTCTGAGACCCACATTCTTTATGTGTAAGAAAAGAAAATAGTCTCCATGTCATAGTGGTGCTGTGGAGTGACCTAGGGTGCTGGACACAAGGCTTAGCACAGAAAGATATTAGGAATTCCTCCCTGACACTCCTCCCTCCCTACCTCTGCACCCCTGCACACACATGATCACCCCATCTGGCCCAGTGAGGGTTCTTTGTGCCAAATAAAACTGTGATTTGAGAAGTGGTTCGTAAACGTACAGTGTGAGCAACTCGGGTCATCACCGTTGTTACCGTTGCAGTGGATGGGAAGTCTCGGGATTCTTTGCGAGCCTTCACGCGGACGTTCGTTGCTGTTCCAGCTAGCAATTCAGGGTAAGCTAAGAACTGTCTGTGGTTTGGGGAAGAATATACAATTCTGGTGTGTTTGGTGGGTGATTCATTGGGGAGTTCTTGGGAAGTCTATAGCAATAAAATGATAAAAGGTGATAGCTAAGAGTGGGAAGAGCACCTTGAAGGTATTTTAGAATCTGAGTGTGAATGTCAATGAGAATAGGAATGATGTTGGGAGGATGAGGTTATCTGTGTTCTACTCTCTAAGGTGCATTTTGTCCCAAGGCTGTGCATTGTAAACGATGAGCTGTTCGTGAGGAACGCCAGCCCTGATGAGATCCAAAGAGCTTTCGTCATGCCTGCGCCCACGCCCTCCTCCAGCCCGGTGCCCACCCTCTCCCCAGAGCAGCAGGAGATGCTGCAGGCATTCTCTACACAGTCCGGCATGAACCTTGAGTGGTCCCAGAAGTGAGTGCTGGGATCAGTACAAACGGGTAAACTGAAGTAGGGCTGGCAATGAAAAACAAGTATTCCTGAAATTTTGTTTTATTTTTTAAGTTTTTGTTTTTAAGATTTTATTTATTTTTAGAGGGGGAGGGGAGGGAGGGAGAAAGGGAGAAAAACATCAATATGTGGTTGCTCGCGTCCCCAACGGGGGACCTGGCACACAACCTAGGCATGTGCCCTGACTGGGAATTGAACTGGCAACCCTTTGGTTCTTGGGCCAGTGCTCAATTCACTGAGCCACACCAGGCAGGGCAGTTTTCTTGATAGTTATTTAATATTTCTTTATGTTCAATGGATTAATTAGACATTTGGATTTTTACTGGTTTTTCATTTGTGTAAATTGTGCAGGAATGTGTATAAATAGCTGAGAAACTTGGGCAAGTGTGTGCGTAAAATTAATGCAGTGGCATTTAGTGACCAGAGTGACTGCATTTTGAGTCTGATGGAGCTGCCCCTTCTCCCACTGCAGGTGCCTTCAGGACAATAACTGGGACTACACCAGATCTGCTCAGGCCTTCACTCATCTCAAGGTGAAGTTTGGAGATAGGACAGCAAAAGGCAGATCTCTGGGCATCTTAAGCTGGTGGAGTGAGGGGGGGGTGGGGTCAGGGTGGTGCATCTGGCTCCTCTGACCTTTCTCCTTCCTCAGGCCAAGGGTGAAATCCCAGAAGTGGCGTTCATGAAGTGACCCCTAGTCATGCCCCAGAAGAATCCCCCTGTAAATAGTCCTCGGATGTTGATGCCTCCTTGTCAAGGTCGTCGTCTCCTCTGCGCCCCGCCCGAGGCCGCCTGAGGCCACCCTGTGACTGTGACGGAGAGGGGAGGGTTGCTGGATCCCTCTCCCTCCCCACCTTCTGGAAGACTCTGTAGGGCTTTCAGAAGATTGAGCCTCACTGGTGCCAGGAAGCCAAAGGTTACTTTGTAGAACTGACACTAAACTACCCGAAGGACTGAGGTGCTTTGTGTACTTAACCCCAGAAGCCCCTGTCCCTGCCAGTACCGCCCTCGACTTTTTAAGATAAAGAGTGATATTATATTGTGTGTCCTGTGTACTGTTTCGTTCCGTTCTTACGGTTCACGGGGAAAGCCAGCTGCCCGCTGTAGAAACCCTTTTCCACACTCGGGGCGCGGCCACCGACAGGAAGTCCCGCCCCGGATGTGGTGCCTTGCAACCATGGCGGTGCCTGGGGGGACGCGGGCGGTGTGGCTGTTGGTCACCATGCGGGACCTTGCCGCGCGCTGTTCCCTGCATGAGATGACCCCGCCGCGGGACGTACTGCTCTTTCAGCACGAGCGGGGCCGCTTTTTCACAGTCCTCGGGCTGTTCTGCGCCGGCCAGGGCATCTTCTGGGCCTCCCTGGCCGTGGGAGCCTTGGCCCCACCCCCCGTTGTGCAGCCTACGGATGCGGAGTTCCCAGACCGCGGCCGCTCCGACGTGCGCTCTGCGCTCTGGCGCTATGGTCTGGCCATCGGTTGCGGTTCCATCGGTAAGGCGTGGAGTGGCCTCCCACCAAAGGGGATGTATGGTAGCTGTGTATGACCCTCCCTACTTAGGCAAGGGGAATGGGGGTTGGGGGTCTCCCGCCCCTCTAAGGATGGGGAGTAGGCGGGCTACAGCCTGCCCATGTGAGTGTGGGACACTGAAGATGGATGCACCAAGCCTTCAAACAGGCCTAGGCTGAAGTCAGCCTCTCTGCAACCTTGAGCAAATTACTTACGCTCTAGACCTGTTTTCTCATTAAAACCGGGTTATAGACATCTTTTAAGGTTGTTGGGAGGAATCAGTAACACAGGGATCTGGGCTGGGGTATAAGAGGTGTGCAGTAAATGTTACTGTCATCACAGCCTTTTTATTCCTGGGGCACTACATTGCTGCTTAGCTCCCAGTGAAACCCCTCACCCCAGTCTGCTCTTCCTGCAGGTACCCTGGTACTTGCTGCTGGGCTTCTCTTCTCCCTGCGCTCTGTGCGTTCAGTGATGCTACGAGCGGGAGGGAAGCAGGTGACCCTCTCCACTCATGCCCCCTTTGGCTTGGGGGCGCATTTCACTGTTCCCTTGAACCAAGTATCCTGCATGGCCCACCGGGGTGAAGTTCCTGCCATGTTGCCTCTAAAGGTCAAAGGCCGACGCTTCTACTTCCTCTTGGACAAAGCTGGACATTTCCCCAACACGAAACTCTTTGACAACACTGTGGGTGCTTACCGTAGCTTGTGAAAAAAAAAAACCCAGGACACTCACCCCTCTCAGAGGGGAATAAAAACAACCTAGGGATGAGGTGAAAACCAGAGTGACATAAGGGGGCCCAAGATTCAAGAACAGCAAATAAAAGCAGACACCCGAAGGGCAGGCACCTGAATGTACCTCCAAGTTTGGATCTGTCAGTTCTGCCTTTAGTCTTTCCTCCCATCCACCTACCTCCTGTGCTTTCACACTAAGAACTCACTACCAAGATGAAGGGAAAAAATAATATCATATATTGGTATAACAACAGCTGTTAGAAGGGCGATGGAGGGGGCCTATCATCAACTTTCCCTCTTGGAGGGAAAACTGAGGCTCCCAGCATAAACAGCTGGGCCAAGTCGGGGCAAGAGGATCGCAGGCACTTGGGCATGGAGAAATAGGCTGCAGGAAGCAGTCTCATTATGCTTCAGGGGTGGGAAAGGCGTGGCCTGACCAGAACATCTGTTACAGAGCTCCACTCAGGATCCCCCCTCTCCAGAGGCCGGAATGGGATGGTTTCAGATTTCAACTGCATGATCTGGAGCACCAAGACCACACACCACAATACCAGATGCACCCAAGAAGAGTTCTATGAGAGATGGGAACAGGAGTGTGAAGAGTGCAGTCATCTCAATTCTAGTTCCACCCACACATCACTAAACTGCTGTCCGGTGGACAGGCCCTCCAGATGCTTTGCCTCTCACTGGTGAACACCCATCAACCATAGATGTTTCTTTTCTTTCTTTTTTTTCATAGATGTTTCTATGAACCTGTATATCCCTCGGCCTCCCCATCTTTCAGACCCCAGGACCTTACTTCGGCATTGTGTAGGTTGGAGTAAAAATGCAGAGCGGTTCCAGGGGGTGTCCATGGAATTTTCTGGGCTTCTGAGCAGCTGTGAGGTCAAAAAGACAGGTGTGAGAAAGGGGAGCATGTACCCCAAATACTCTTGTCTCCAGGTGTCCTTCAAGGACAACTGATGGGGACAAAAAGGGCATTGTAGGCTCCCCTCTGCAGAGGGAAAGTGTCAGCCCCATGGGGCCAGGCTCCCCGTGTCCCATTACCTAATTGTAGTATTCTGAGAGAGGATGGAGTTGCAGAGAGCACTGGTGCCAAATTGAAGGACACAGGCAGACACTAAGACCAGGAAGATGGCTATAGTTGAGAGGGCCAGTGCGATGCGGAGCCCCAGTGGGCCTCTGTGAGGAGGGAGAGAACAAGCCTTGTGATTGAGGTGAGACCCCTCCCACCTCACAGCCCTGGCCCTCAGTGGAGCAGTCACCTTTGGGAGTCCTCAATGCAGCTGCTGTAGACCCAGAAGAGTAGAAGCAGGAGGCAGCAGAGGGCCAGGAGGCCAGAGGCCCCAGCCACAAAGTAGCAGAGGGAGGGGGCTGAGCCTCCGGATAAGGCCAGGGAGGAATGGTTCAGGGTGGCCACACCATACAGGGGACAGCTGCCACTAAAGGAGGCCTGTGGAGAAAGGTTGCTGAGTCCTAGGCTTCAGGTTCGTGCCTCTCCATGCAGGCTCCTGGCAGGTGTTAGGGATTAGACGTAGGCCAGGGCCACACTGGGAAGTTACTTGCATTATCACTTTTTCTGGGCCAGAACAGGGCCTGCTGTGGGAATCAAACCTGCAGTGGCCAGAAGGATCAGGAAATTGGCAATGGTTTTAAAATACATCGAGCTTCAGAGATGCCTCACAAGTTATGGTCTCCCTTCTACAGAGACCCCAAAGCAAAACCAGATCTTGCGTGACCTAAAAACTACCTCCGATGGTTTCTAACTAGTGCCTACTTTATAGGGATTAAACGAACTGGTTTATTAAGGTTTTCTGGCTGGAGTAAACAATGTAAACCAATGGCTTTACGGTGGTCTTACACAAGCGTTTTCTACGTCGCGTGTTTGTTGCCACGTTGCGTTTGCAACCATCTGGTAACCTGATCATTTCCACCACACTGTGCTTTGGTTCCTGGCTCCCTCAGCACAACAGTATCTGATTTGAGGAAGGCGTGGTTGCAGCCGACATATTTCAAAACTAGAGTAAAGTCAAGCAGCAAATGTCTCCAAGCCGGGCTATGTCTGGTGCTGCTTACACTCGAAAGATTGTCCCTTTGGCGAAAGAATGATCTAAGTATGACCTGGGCGGCGGGAGTGGCAGACCGCTGCCGGCCAGGCTCCCCAGCTCCGAGGAGCCAGCAGCGCCCCCCACCCCTCCACCGCCTACCCATCCAGACCCCACTTCCGGCCCCGCCCCGCAGCCGCACCTGGGTCCGGGTTAGTGTCGCAGCCGCCAAGGCTCCACAAAGGAAGGCGGCGGCATAGAGCACTAGCTCGATGCGCTGTAGGCAGGGGAGGGCCATGGCTTCCTCGCACCCGGAAGCGCGGCCCCGGGAGCAACCGCCCAAGCCCCGCCTCATGCTACGCGCCCTACAAGTGCGGAGACTTCACTTCCGGCGCGGGTTTATTTAGAGACCAGGCGTGCCACCTCAGAGCGGCAGGTACAGCGAGTAGTCCGAGAGCACCCAGCGGCGGGCCGGGCGGCCGGTGCGGCCGATCATGGGCAGCTTCTGCACGTAGCGGGAGGCCGGGCTGGGCCCGTAGGGCGCGGGGAAGGCCGTTTGGAAGAGGCGCCCGCGGCACCGCCTCCCGGCCTGCCGCCCAGCGATAATGAAACGGAAGTGGGGGGCCCCGCGCGGAGCGAAACGGCTCTTCTGAAAGACGTCGCGGGTACCGGCACCGGGACCCTGCTGTCTGGGCGCCCCCCGCGCCCGATGCACGCGCGGCAGCGGCCTGTTGTCAGAGGCGGCGGGCGCAGAGGCCGAAGGAGGGCCGCTGCCCCGCGGGCTCTCGTCGCCCTGCGGGCTAACCATGGCGTTAGCTGTCAGCTGCGGCATCTTCCGTACCGAGTCTGGGGCCGCTGCTGGCTCCTTCTTGTCCCCGGGGGGCCGGGGGGCCGTGGGCGCCGGCTGACCCGTGCCGAAGCGGGTGGCCAAACTGTCACCGAAGAAAGCATAGAGCTCTCGGTAGATGTCCGCCAAGGTCACTGAAGGGGAAGGTTCTTCCGGCCCCGCGCCTCCTGGCGGCAATGGGAGGCCAGACCCAAAGCCTGGCTCTGCGCTGCCCCCGGAAGGAGACTCCTGCAGGAGAAGGCTGTCCCAGGGGAGGTCGTCCGCACGCCGGCACCCCCTGCAACCGGGGCCCCTCTTGCTGGGGAATGCTGCCTGGGCCTTCATCTTCAGCAGCCGCTCCACGGCCACCTATAAGGGCAGAGGGGTTAGGATACTCAAGGACTAGGAGGAACCCGGGCCCATGCAGTATTCCAGCGTAAGCCTGCTGAACTCCTGCACGGGAGGGAGGCGGGAAGGGGCTGGCACTCACCAGAATGGCTCCGTAGACCTTGTGCCCATCTGCTTTAACCTGGGCATTAGATACTGAATAGTCATCCAGCACAGCCTGCAAATTGGTCCAGTAAGTGGACAGGTGTGGGTAGAGGACTCGTTCTACTGCCTGGAAGGGAGAGGGATGCAGTGAGGGCCTCTTTGATGCTTACTGCCCTTCCAGTATGCTTTCCAACAAAACCTTTTATCTCTGACACTGGACAGGACTCAGTCCTCCTAAATTCCCTGCCTGGCATTTATGTGGAACCTACATTTATGTGGAACCTACTGTATACCCAAGCCTTCACTAAGCACTGGGAATGAAGATCGGATACGAAGACAAACAGTATAAAATGACCTCACTATAACTGACATGCTGTATCACTGACATAAGGGCAACGAGGGTATTTTGTTGGTCAACTGCTACCCTAAAGCCATCAATAGACAAGTGCTGTCTTTTGGGGGGGGGGGCTTTGATGGATCAGGGGCTTTGGTTAGTCACCCACAGCCCAAGGATTTGGAAATGTTGACAAAGTGACAGTTCCTAGGAGCATGTAACTTGCTGCAGACTCAAGATATATGAAAGCTTAAATGATTCTGTAACTATGGTACTTTAAAATCAAACCAATAATAAAAGCATGCCAAAATTTACAATGTCTACAGGCATTCAAGAAAAAAAAGCATCTCAATATTAAACATTAAAAAAAAACCCCACACCCTTTCTACCTCGTTCTATAAGGCCAATGTAACCCTGACCCTAAAACCAAACAAGGACAGTGTATGAGGGGAAACAATTGATTTCACTCGACTATAAAGAAGTCCTTTAAAATTTTAGTAAACAACAGTTTTTAGAAAATGCATTCCATTGCAATCAAGTTTTGGATCTTTTTAAAGATTATACCACGACCAAAGTTTATCCTAGAAATGTAAAGATGGTCTACTGTCAGAAAACCCCAGCCCCTGCCTGGCGCTCCATGGCAGCGGCTGAGAGCCGACTCCCCTACCGTCTGCGTGCCTCACTGCACTTCCTCTGCAGCCGTGTCCCACATGCCCAATAATGGCTGCAATCCTGAGAAATCTGGTGTCAAAACTGAAGACAGACACACAGAAGAAAAATCCACTACCTTCGAAAGAAAAGAACTACTGACAATGAAGGCTGCACCTGCCTCTCCCATCTGCCTGCCTGGGTGGCAGGGAAGGAAAAGAACTTGCAAGGAAGAAGCTGGGAGAAGTGACAGGAAATTCAGAGTCAAAACCAAGCTGGTCCAAGGTGTCCTGCATGCTGTAAAATGTAGTCTAAAAAGAGTACCATTTTTTCTTGTTCAAATGATTTTAATTATTGGAATGCACAATTTTTAATATGCAAATAAATGTTTAAAGCGGGGGGGGGGGAGAATCTCTGCATACAACTAATCACATTTACCGATAAAGCAGAGAAACCGATTCATTTCAAAAGGTAAAGAAAAAGCACTTGATGTCCCAGCTGGTGTGGCTCAGTGGATTGAGTGCTGGCCAGTGAACCCAAAGGTCGCTGGTTGGGTTCCCAGTCAGGGCACATGCCTGGTTGTAGGCAGGGTCCTCAGCTGGGGGCAAGCAAGAGGCAACTGATTGCTTTATCTCTTGCATACTGATGTTTCCCTCTCTCCCTCCCTTACCCTCTCTCTAAAAGTAAATAAAATCTTTTTAAAGAAGTTTTTTTAAAGCACTTGATAAAAGTTCAACACAAATTAATGATAAGAACATAATTTTCTTGATCTGAGAAAGGTTACCTATAAACTCACAAAGTAAACAGCCTCAATGGGAAAGATAATTAGCAATTCTTTCAACACTGAAAATGAGAAAAGTTGCCTGTTATCTTATGTAAAATGGTATTAGGGGTCCTAGCAATGAAATTATAAGAAGAAATTAAAGGCATAAGGTTTAGAAGAGATGCAATAAAGCTATCATTATTTGTAAATGATACGATTGATCTACATTAAAAGCCCCGAAGAATCTATAGACGGAAAGGACAGTTCAGTAAAGCAGCAGAATCAGGACGCACGGCAGCTGCTTCTACACACCACGAAAAGAAGACAGCATCACAGCAGCAACAGAGAACAGTGAGATTCTGGGATGAAATTTAGTAAAGTATATTTAGTAAACGAAATTTATTTAGTAAATTTAGGTTTTCTTCAGGGAAAGTTATGAAAGGATCCTGAAAGAGTGAAAGACCTAAAAAAAAAGGACATAAGCCCTGGCTGGTGTAGCTCAGTGGATTAAGCACGGGCCTGCAAACCAAAGGATCTCGATTCCATTCCCAGTCAGGGCACTTGCCTGGGTCGCGGGCCAGTTCCCAGCAGAGGACGCACGAGAGGCAACCATACATTGACATTTCTCTCCCTCTCCTTCCCTTCCCCTCTAAAGATAAATAAACAAAATCTTTTAAAAAATTGTTTTGGAATTTTTAAAAAAAGGACATATATTTGTGGACAAAAAGAATGACTAATGATGTCAATTGTCTCAAAAACTGATCTAACAGATTCGGTGAGATTCCCATGAAAATCTCAGTGGCATCGAACAGAGTTTATCCCAGGCAGGCACGAGTGGTTCAGCAGAAAAATCCATCCCCAGAACCGGTGAAATTCTCAGAACTAAGATAAATAATCATTGGCTGGTCGATACAGACGCTAAACAGGTACTGACAAGCTCAATGCTCAACTCCTATCTAAAATACACTCAATACAAGAGGAATGACGGGTAGTTCTTTAACATGATAAGTTAGAATGAGCAGGAATTTATGAATTCATATGTTAATATCTGCCATGTGGGACTTTTGAAAGGATAAAGTGTTTGTACACAGAAAGTCAGTAAGCCAATGGCACTCCAATAAATTCAATAAAAATAAGCAAATAAATAAAAAGAAAAAATGGCTCTGGCTGGTGTGGCTCAGTAGATTAAGTGCCGGCCCACACAGACCAAAAGGTTGCTGGTTCGATTCCCCACCAGGGCACATGCCTGGGTTGCAAAAGGCAGGCCAAGCCGTGCAAAAGGCAACCAACTAATGATTCTACCACACACTGATGTTTCTCTCTCTTTCTCCCTCCTCCTCTCTCTCAAAAAATAAAAATAAAAACATAGAAATATCTAATTAACTTGGATAGTTCTAATTAGAAATACCTAATTTAAAATGGCATTAAAAAAATAGGCCATCACTGAGGTCTATGCCAAGAACTCAATACACAGCAGCAGCAAGCACACACCATCTTACGACAAAAGACACATGAATACTCTTTTTCTAATGACAAACGGGAGCTCTGATAGCTCTGTGAGAAAGGCCAGGGTCCTCACCTTCCAGCCCAGGGCGTGCAGCCCCACCACAGCCCCGTAGTGAGAGCAGAGAGGCCGCACAGGGTCTGCCAGCACCTTCTGAAGGGAGAGCAGGATCTGCTGATACAGCCCACTCACAAGGTCCCCATGCGTCCTGTGGGAGCAACATGCAGTCAGAGGGGACGAGGCACAGCGCTGCCCACTGTGATTCAAGTCACAGCAGAGGAAACAGCACTTGTCTGGCACTCTGGGGTAAATGAACAAGGTGGCCAGGGATGACGTGCCTGGGACCTGAAGGCTGAAAGACAAAAGCCTTGGTGTACGTGTCACCCATTTGTAGAATCCCAGTGTGCCCAGGGTGCTGACTAGGAGGCTTTCAACACAGAGCCTCAAAGCCTGCACGTTAACCCCACCTCCCTACCCCAACCCACTCAGCTCTCCGCCCAGCAACTACCAGAAGATGTGGCTGAGAAGGAGGGCTGCCCCATCTCGCAGAGTCCAGTGGTCATTCAGGGGGTTGATGGAGGCCGCCAGTGGCTCCAGGACGCAGTAGAGGACACTGCCCACCAGGGAGCGGACGTAGGGCCCCAAGCAGAGGTGTGGGTTCCGAACCAGGCTTCTTGCCACTTGCAAGAGCCGGTGTAGCTGCTCCAAATCGTGGCTCACAGATTTCACCTGTTAGTAGGAGAGGGTTGCTTAGGGGGATGCAGGGGTGCACAGCAGCCTGCCGTTCTGA